ACTACTACTATTACTACTACTACTACTACTACTACTCCTACTACGACTACGGCTACTACGACCCCTACTACTACCACTACTACTACTACTACTATTACTACTACTACTGCTACGACTACTTCTACTACTACTACTACTACTACTGTTATTACTACTACTACTAATACTACTTCTTTTACTTCTACCTATATTTCTTTTTGTGTTACTACTACTACTACTACTACTACTAGTAATACTAATACTACTACTACGACTACTACTACTACTACTACCACTACTACTACTACTACTACTACTACTACTACTACTACTACGACTAACAATAATTTCACGAGTGCCGCGACTACCACGACTGTCGGTGTTTTACGTGAAATGCGTTGTGTGCGAAGGCGTTCCCATCCCTGACAGCACATTTGCACAAACATTCCTAGTTTCAAATTGACGCCCATGTCTATGATTGATAGCTTGAGCTGCTTGCACGGCGGTAGCAGCGCGGACATGGCGCATTTTGGCCCCATGACGGGGGCCGTGTCATTGACGGAGTCACCAGCAGTCGCCCGCGTTCACATTGCGAGCGGCTTGAGCTTGCATGAGCGAGTGTGGCTACATTTCTTGATGCTCTTGATCATGATATTGATGATGATGATGGTGATGATGATGAGATTGCTCCATTTGCTTGCGCACCCCGGTGACCTCGAGCTCGACCAGACCGCGGGCCCTCCTGTATTGGGCCGAGAAAGTACCACGCCTGCTATACCTGGACAGCCGGGTCGCATAGCGGCCGCGCTGGGAGACCACCCCCCCCTGCACACACCCGCTGGTATCGCGAGATTGCCATGCCAGCTGTATCTGGACGACGGGGGCGCATAGCGGCCGCGCTCAGAGAACACCCCCTGCGCACTCTTCTACTGTCGGGACAGAACCATGCCTGATGTGCCCTGGACGACTGGGGCGCATAGCGGCCGTGCTCAGGCACCACCCTTTGCGCATCTCCTATGGTGTCGAGGCAGCGCAGCGACTGCTAGGCCCTGCGAAACTGGCGCGTATAAAGACCGCGGTGAGGGACCACCCCCTGCGCACCCCGTCCAGTGTCGATGAACCGCCACGTTTGCTAGGCCCTGCACGTTTTCCGGTGTCGGGACAGAAGCACGCCTGCTGGGTTCTGCGACATTGGCGCGCATAGAGACCGCAGTGAAGCACCACCCCTTGCGCACTTCACCTGGTGTCGAGAAAGTGCCACGCCTGCTGGGCCCTGCGACCTTGGGACGTATAGAGTCAGCGGTGAAGGGCCGCCCTCTGCGCACCCCTTTCAGGTGTCGAGACAGTGCCACGCCTGCTGGGCCCCGTGACATTGGCGCGTATAGAGACACGGTGAGGGACCACCCCCTGCGCACCCCGTCCAGTGCCGAGGAAATGCCACGCTTGCGAGGCCCTCTGACATTGGCGCGTCCAGAGACAGCGGTGACGCACCACCCCCTGCGCTCGCCTGCTGTGCCCTGCGACTGGCGCGTATAGAGACCGCGGTGAGGGGCCTCCCTCTGCGCACCACCTCTTGGTGTCGAGAAAGTGCCACGCTTGCTAGGCCCTGATACGTTGGCGCGTATAGAGACCGCGGTGAGGGACCACTCCCTGCGCACCACCTTTGGTGTCGAGAGAACGCTGCGTGTGCTAGGCCCTGCGACGTTTGCGCGTATAGAGACGGCGGTGAAGGACCACCCTCTGCGCACCCCGTTTTGGTGTCGAGGAAGTGCTACTCGAGCGCGGCCCTGCGACGTTGGCGCGTATAGAGACCGCGGTGAGGGACCACCAGCTGCGCACCCCTCTATGGTGTCGAGACAGCGCCGCGCCTGCAAGGCCCTGCGACATTGGCGTGTATAAAGACAGTGGTGAGGGACCACCCCGTGCGCACCCTTTCTGGCGTCGAGAAAGCTCACACGACGACACCACCCCGTGCGCATCCACTGCTGTGGGGCGAAAATGTCACGCCTGCCACCCTCTCCGACCTTGGCACGCATAGTTGCGAATCTTAGGACTGTACCTGTATATGCGTATGATGTGTGTGCGTGTGTGTGTGTGTGTGTGTGTGTGTGCCAAGTGTCGCGCGGCTTCGCGAGCCCGAAACGGATGCGTGTATGTTTGATGTGTGGTGTGTACGTGTGTTGTGTGTGAATGTGTGTTGTATGTGAATCGTGTGTGTTGTGTGTGCAGGTGTGTTGCGCGCGAGTGCAGGTGAGAAAGAGAAGGAGAAAGGGCAGGTGAGGAATGAGTGAGCGAGTGAGGTTCGCGGGTGGGACGCGGGCGGGAAGAAAACCAACACCCCACGGAGCATGCAGAGAAATATTGTGATTTGGGTCAAGCGCGCCTGGCCCCACGAAGTAGGCGGGGCGCCCCAGTGGGCAGTGGACACACTTCGGGAGTTGGGCCTCTGATGTCCTTCAAAAGCACTCGCGATGCCCAACGCTGGAAATGGAGGATTCTTCAGGACCCGAGGGCATTCGATTTCGTGTCTCGAGGCACGCTGGCGGATAGGGCACCGAGTGCACCAGTGGCCGAATGCGAGATGCAGGACCAGCTCCGTATAGACCGAGTGAGAACCCCTAGAGACAAATATTATTATTGAGGAACCACGTGCGTGCCCACTCTCATACCACTCGCTTGCTGCGCGTTTTTTTGGAGCAGGTGGATGACTTGCAGAGGGGGGATTGAATGTAGCCACCAAGTTCCGTTCTCCAACATGACGAAATCAACGCTTAAGCCAATGAAGCGCAACGGCTTCAGTTTGGGGAGGCCCGCAGGGTGTACAGCGGCAGGTTCGTGGGTTGAGCGCTAATTTCTGCAAGAGTGCTGACCCTCGTGAACCGCCTGACTCACATGCTCCGTGGCCCCTCGCAACCCCCTATTGATGCATGATGCAACTGCCTCTGCGATGTTGATGTTTAGGGGTCCCTCGCGGAAGCGGTATTCAATGGCGAGCTTTCTCTTGAGGACGCTTCTCTGAATGGAGACCATGTTTTCGAGGTGAGCAACAGTTCAAGTTCCCATGCGAAAGCATCCGAATACAATCAATCCAGCGCCAATTGACCGGATTGCTAGCTCGATAATCCAGAACCCCAGGCCCAAGCACTTTGAGGCCATGACGCCAGAACACATTGATTAGGCTGGTCGGAGATAGCGAGACATGATCATATCAGTTTTCAGTACCAGAGTATGCAGGCCTTGAAACGGTGCGACTTTGTGCCCCAGATAATGTAGACCACTGCGTGTCGCCTAGCAGGGGCCCGTTGACATGATAGTATGGAGGCGCGACGTTCGCGCGAGGAGCGCGGCATCGAGCCTTCCCATCGTTACGACCACTGGCGTCGTCATCGCCTCCATAGTCACAATCGTGATTGCATTCGCAGCGGTGTCCAGCTGCCTGTGGCAACCTCCACCACCGTCCCAGCGCAGCCTCGAAATGAGGGGCCGTCTGGGAAGCGTTGCCGCGATGTTGCAGTGTGGCGTGGTTGCAACAGTGGATTGCGTCTGCGATGCCTCGTGGATGCTTATTGGGGGCTCCTCTGGAGCTCCGTGGGGGCCTCGTGGGGCGTTATCGGGGACCTCTTCAAGGCCTGGAAGGCCTCGTGGGTGCCACTTGAGGGTTTTAGGGCCGCGCGGATTCCACCAGGCTCTCTAGAAGAGGATCGGGAACCCCATCTTGAGACCATTCGGTCGGATAGTCTTGGAGCCCTTTTTAGGGCGGGTCTGTGCTGTCTTGGATGTTTCTTCGGCTGTCGTTGGTCCGGGGGCGTCTTCGAGGCTTCTCGGAGATCTCGGGGGCCGTCTTGGGGCACACTGGAGCTATCGGTGGTACATCTTAGGCCGAATAGGCGAGTAAACAGTCCTGATTGGAAACCAATTGTTGGCCTTCCTTGGGCATCCCTTGGGGGCTTGTTCGTCCAGTTCCGACGCCTTGTGGTTCATTTTGGGTCCTCTGAGGAGTCTGTGGCTCCAGCCTGGGGGCATCCTGCCGTCATTCAGGCGTGCTGTGGCGGTCTTGAGAGGTTTGCGGGACGAAGAAGAGCACCAGGTAGACAAACGAAAGGGGCCGCCGCGCGATACAGTCGGGGCACTGAAGGAGGAACCCTTTTCGCTGGGGAGGGGCTCCGTGATCCTTGACTGTTGTACCAGATTCTTTTTATGTTATCGTGAGGTTTTCCATGGGGAATCGAAGTTTAACTCATGGGAGCAAGGGGCCTCGTTCCTTGCTTAGGGCTTCATGGGTCAACGCCCCGACTGCAAGCGGTGTTGTTGGCGCAGGCGGGAGAGCGAGCTGCCCCCTGTCTGTAACGTTGTCACAGTGAAGAGTGTATGGTAATGGGTCGTACAGTCGGGGCGCTGACCTAAGGAACCCTCTTCGTTGGGGAGGGGCTCCGTGTTCCTTAGTTGCTTCACAGTTCGCTTCTGGTCTTCCTGAGGTTCTCGATGGGAAGGCGAAGCTCAAATCATGAAAAAAGGGGCCTCGTGCCTTATTCAGGGTTCCTTAGGTCAACGTCCCAACTGTATAGTCGGGGCGTTGACCTAAGAGAGCCTACATTAGGAACGAGGCCCCTCTCTTCCACAACTTGAGCCTCGATTTCCCATCGGAGTCCTGAGGAACATCTGAGGCAAACGGTGAAGCAATTAAGGAGCACGGAGCCCCTCCCCAACGAAGAGGATCCTTTCTGCAGCGCCCCGGTTGTAACATGTTCGTCGATGATCCTCAGCGCCGGCGCGGTCATCTCAGGAGGGGAAAAAACACACAGACACAATTAATCGTCGATTCCCCAGAAAATATGGGAAACTATGGGAAGTGGTGGGGAAGACGATCATCAAACAACTATAGGAAAAGATGGGGCATATGTTTATGCGTGTGTATTTATTTGTGTGTCCTGGGTGCCCTTTACCATCGTCGTCGCAGTCGTGGCCACTACCAGCCTGGCTCAGTGATGTGCCGCGGTCCCTGGCACTGCGCGGCTGGCGAGGGCGGCGCCTCGGCGCGGGCTGCGGGCCGATGTCGTCGGTTGCGCGCCTCGTGTTCGGCATCGGTCGCGACCTGTACGTCGTCTTGTTGGCAGTACGGTGGGCTGTTGCCATGCGTCCGTGGCCCACTCGACGGCTGCAGTGACCAATCGGTTTCGGCAGCACCTCGGCATTGAGTTTTTTTGAAGTTTTTGAAGGTCAGACGAGCACAGGGGTTGTGCTGTTTTTTTGTTGGGGGGGGGCACCGCTGGACGTGAGCATGCGCTATCGCCTGATGGATGCTCGGGAATGTATCAACAATCGCATTCACGCGTAGAATTGCAATGCGATGTGTGCACTGAGTTGTTGTCTCTGCCGATGTCAGGACATGCGTTGTTGCCATTGTTGATCATGTAGCTGTAGTTAGCGTTGCAGTAATCGTTTTGCCGCTGCGGCTGGGATGAACAGTTCTGGCCCTTGCCTCAGTTGATCGCGTTGTCACTGTATTTATCTTTGCTGCCGCTGTCGTGATACGCAGCTTGAGGACCAGTGTCAGGATAACACATCGAGAACGTGCCCATACGCTTAGGTTCAGGGGGGAAGCCAGAGTTCCTCGCAAGCCAGTAAACCCCCTTCAAGATAGGGGGTTCGCGCATAGCAATTGCCGAGCTGTTCTTCATTCCCGGTGGAGATCTGCTCCACGACGGCACTCGAAAGATCGTGGTCGGCCTCTCGGTATGCTTCGTGCTTGCCAAGGTCGCCGGGCTGACAGACAAGGGTCCCTCTGGGATGTGGCGCACAGCGAACCGGACCAAGACGACGACCAGCGGCACCGTGCAGGCCATGGACTGGGCATCTGTGGAGATGCAGGGCTGGCGCCCGGCGATGGAGGACGCCGTCCGCGTGGTGGGCTCCCTGCCGGCCTCGCTGGAGCAGCGGGCCCTGTTTGCGGTGTTCGACGGGCACGGCGGCGAGCAGGTCAGCTCCAGTTTTGGTCGGGGTAGTTTGTGTCAGGTGTCGGTTCGTTCGTCTGATTCGGTCGGGTTGCATTAACGGGCTCGGCACTCGGCTTTTATGGGGTCAGTTGACGATTCATTGAGTGGAGTTCCCTCGAGAGATGTTGCGAAGGGCCTTGCGGCCAGTGCCGCCGACCCTGCAGACGGGGACGACGAGCAGGACAAGGACGTTGAGGAGCTGGAGGCGGAGGACGTCAGGGAGCAGGATGGGGGAGGAGGAGGAGGAGGAGGAGGAGGAGGAGGAGGAAGAGGAGGAGGGGAACATGAGGAAGGAGGAGGAGGAGGGGAACAGGAGGAGGAGGAGGAGGAGGAGGAGGAGGAGGAAGAGGAGGAGGAGGAGGAGGAGGAGGAGGAGGAGGAGAGGGGGAAAATGAACAGGAGCCAGATGAGGCGAGCAGGGCCGCATTGTGCAGGAGTGGTCCTGGGACCTGGGGCCTGGGAGTCCTGGATTTTTAGAGGAGCTGGTTCCGGGTGCTGGGTCCTGGGAGGAGGTCCCCAGGGCTGGGTCCTGGAGGGTCCCGGGGACCTCGGAATTCTGGGTTCTGGGGTGTCCCGTGGCCGAGCGTCCAGGATGCCGGTTCGGTTCTGCTGGAGGGGGACGGAGGAAAGAGGAGAGATGAGGATATGGAGGGAGGAGGGGGGAGGGAGGAGAGGGCGTGGTAGAATGCCTCGGCTCTTGGCCCGTCTGAGGCTTTGTGTGTGCCCCGGGACCCCCGGGGGGGGAGTCGTATCTCACGCGGGACCCCCCCCTGGACCCCCCCCTGGACTCCCCCCCGGACCCCCCCCGGGGCTCCCCGGGGACGCCCCTCCCTGCCCCCGGGACCCCCCCCCCGGGCCACCCCCCTGGCAGGAAAGGGATCAACGGGAAGGGGCTTCCATTCGACTCAATGACAGCGTTGCTTGCTCTTGAGGGGGAGGCCCCGGAAACGCGGGGGGGGGAGCGGCGACGGGCCCAGGGAAGGGGGGGAAAGGGGAGGAGGGGAGACCAGCCCAGGGCAGGCGGGAGCGCAGGGACAGGAGACGACTGGCCCAGGGAAGGGGTGGGCGCAGGGACAGGAGACGACGGAGACGACGACGAACGAACGACGGGAACGGACATGCCCCTCACACACGCCGACGCAGGGTCGGCGGATCAGTTGTAGAACCGGGAGTTGTATATTTGGCTAGCACTTCGGGCCGGGCTGATGGTGGTGGGCTGGAGGTTTCCGGCCAGAGGGGAAGATACTTGACGACCCCTGGATGGCAATGTTGGGCCACGGGGTGCGGATACTGGCTGTCAATTTGGCGCAATGTGGGTAAGATATCTGACTGGCAGTTCGGTGCGGAAGCATATGTCTTAGTGACGGGGCCGTCTACAGGAAGGGGGGGCCACCCAAAAACGCTAACAGCCAGGCCGGGGGGCACAACTAAAATGTAATATTCAAAATTACGTTTTTGTCCGAAGGCATGGTTTGGAAAATCCAGAATTATGGTTTGTTGTTGTTTTTGCCCTGAAGGGCTGTGTGTGCTTGAATTCAGAAATCGCAATTTTATTGTGGGAAGGCTTCGCCTCTTTCGCCCTTCTGGAAGTGTTGTTGCACGATGAACGCCACGTGCGAAACATGTTTGTGGGGCTTTCCGTGTGTAGTTTCATTGGCGGTTGGATGCGTAGTTGGTTTCGTTACTGTTCGCATCCATCACGGCCCACCCAGCAACCCAGGCGAAATGTCTTGATCAGGGAAGTGCGGGAACATTCCGTGTAACGAAGAGAAATTGATGGGGAAGCCGTCAAACCGAATTTCGTGGGTCAGCCTGGGCACGCCCGGGCGTGAATGCACATTCGCGGCCCCTGCCGAAACAGGCAGGGCGCAGAAGAACGATGAGGGGACGGGGGAGGGGGGTGCGGGGGAGGAACACGAGGAGGACGAGGACTAAAAGGAAGAAGGGAGGAGCGACGGAAGTAGCAGGAAAGGGGCGAGCAGAAGTATGATGACATTGACTGCGCAAGCTTTGGGGGGGAGGAGGAGGAAGAGGAGGAGGAGGAGGAGAAGGAGGAGGGGGATGAGGAGGAGGAGGAAAGGAGGAGGGAGGAGGAGGAAGGAGGAGGAGGAGGATTGGGCGAGGAAGGAGGAGGAGGAGGAGGAGGAGGAGGAGGAGGAGGAGGACGAGCGTACAACGCGCACGCGCGCGTGCGCGCGAGGTGTGATTTCTGCGTTGTTCTCAGCGGTCTGGCAACGAAGGGGCCTGGAAACGAAGGGGTTCTTGGGCGGTGACCGAATGGGTGTTCCAGGTAGCGCGGGGCTGCAGCGCGCCAGCCAAGTGGCTCAGCGCGCAACGCGCCCGCGCGCGCGCGCGCCGGCGCGAGCTGTGAATTCTGTATCATTTATAATAGAAGTGCCGCAACGTTGGCATGGGAGCTCAAGTGGTCCCCTAGCGGAGACCGATTGGATTTCCGATTTACCATGGGTTTGTAGCGCGTCGGTGAAGTGGCTCAGCGCGCAACGCGCCCACGCGCGCGCGCGGGCGCGAGCTGTGAATTCTGCGTTATCCACAAAAGAAGGGCAGTCGTGCTGTCCTGGAAACTAAAGTGGCCCCCCAGCGGTGACCGACTGGATTGTCAAATTGACATGGGGATGTAGCATGTCGGCCAAGTGGCTCAGCGCACAAGTCGCCCGCGCGCGCGGGAGCGAGCCGCCACTCTGCGTTATCCAGAACAGAAGGGCCGCCATGGTGGCTTGGGAGTTCAAGCAGCCCCTTAGTGGTGGCCGATTTCTTTTTCCAATTTAACATGGGCTTCTAGCATGTCGGCCAAGTGTCTCAGCGCGCAGCGCGCCCACGCGCGCGCGAGCTGTGAGTTCTACCCGCAATAGCAGGGCCGCCATGCTGGCCTGGGAAATCAAGCGGCCCACTAGCGGTGACCGATTGGATATCCGAGATAGCTCGAGTTTGTAGCGTTTTGGTTAAATGGTTCAGCGTACAACGGGCCCACGCGCGCGCGCGCGCCCGCTTGCGCTCGCGCGCGCGAGCTGTGAATTCTGTATCACCAACAATAGAATGGCCGCCATGTTTGCTTAGAAACTCAAGTGGCCCCTTAGCAGTGACCGACGGACTTCCAAGTTAGCAAAAGGTCGTAGCATGCCGGTTAAGTTGTGCAGCGTACAGAGCGCCCGCGCCTGCGCGCGCAGGCGCGAGCTGTGAACCCTGTATTCTCCGCAATGCAAATACCGCCACGTTGGCCTGAGAACTCAAGTGGCCCCTTAGCGGTGGCCGATGGTATTTTCCATCTTTAACATGGGCTTGTAGCATGTCGGCCAAGTTGCCCAGCGTACAAGGCGCCTCGCGCGCGCGCCCGCGCGCGCGCGAGCTGTGAATTTTCGTGCTACCCGCAGTAGAAGGGCCGCCATGTTGGCCTGCACACTCAAGTAGCCCCTTTGCGGTGGCTTCCAGCATGTCAGCCAAGTGGCTCAGCGCGCAACGCGCCCGCGCGCGCGCGGGCGCGAGCTGCGAACCCTGATCCAAAGTAGACGGGCCGCCGTGTTGGCTTGGAACCCCTGATTGATTTCCAGGTTAGCACTGGTTTGTGGCACGTTGGCCAAGTGGTCCAGCGCTCAACGCACCCACCCGCGCGCGCGCGAGTTGCGACTTCTGGATCACTTGGTTACCCATAATAGAAGGGCCGCCACGATTGCCTGGCAACTGAAGTGCAATCCTATCGTTGGCTGATTCGATTTCCGAGTAACCATGAGTTTGCAGCGTGCCGATTAAGCTGTAAATTCTTTATTGCACGCCATAGAGTGGCCGTCATGTTGGCCTGGAAGCCATAGTGGCCCCTTAGCGGTGGCCGATTGGTTTTCCCAGCTTACCTAGGGTTGCCGCACGTCGGCCAAGTTGCTCAGCGCACAACGCACCCGCGCGCGCGCGGGCGCGAGTTGTGACCTCTGCATCGCTCGCAACAGAAGTGCCGCCGCATTGGCTTTGAAACGCAAGTGGCTCTCTAGCGATGGCCGACTGGATGTTCAATTTAACATGGGGTTGTAGCATGTCGCACAAGTGGCTCAGCATAAAGGACGCCCACGCGCGCGCGCGCGCGCGAGCAGTGACTTACGAACTTTCCACACCAGAAGGGCCGCTATGTTTGCTTGGAAACTAGAAGTTGCCCGTTGCGGTAGAAGATTGAATATCCTAGTTAGCATGTGGTTGTGCCATGTTGGCCAAGTAGCTCAGCGTACAACGCGCCCGCGCGCGCGGGCGCGAGCTGTGAACTCTGTATCATCCACGACAGAGGACCGCCGTGCTGGCCTGGCAATTCAAGCGGCCCCGTGGCGGTGGCCGAATGGATTTCCAAGTTAACACGGGGTTGTTGCATGTCGGCCAAGTGGCTCAGCGCACAACGCGCGCACGCGCGCGCGCGGGCTGTGCATCCTGCACTACCCAGAATAGAAGGGCCGCTGTCCCCTGGAAACTCATGCGGCCCCTGAGCGGTGACCGATTGGAATTCCGAGTTCACATGGGCTTGTAGCATGTGGCTGAACGCACATAGCGCCCGCGCGCGCGCCCCCCCCCCCGGCGCGTGCGAGCTCTGAAAGCCGTACTACCCGCAATATCGGGTCCTTTATGTTGGCATGGAAGCTCAAGTGGCCCCTCCGCAGTAACCGATTGAACTTCCGAGTTAACATGGAGATTGTCGCGTATCGGCCAGGTGGCTCAGCGTGCACGTCGCCCACGCGCGCGCTAGCTGTGAACTCTTTTTTTTTTTCCACCGTACAACGGCCACCATGTTGGCATGGAAAATCTAATTGGCCAATTAACGGTGACTGATTGTATTCCGAGTTAACATGGGCTTGTAGCGTGTCGGTCACGTGGCTTAGCGTACAACGCGCCCGCGCGCGCGAGATGTGACTTCTGGGCTACCCACATTAGAAAGGGCCGCCTGGCCTGGAAACTCAAATGGCCCGTTAGCGGTGACCGATTGGATTTCGAAGT